AACACTGACTCTACCTCTCAGGACACAGGAGCTGCTGCTCTCCTGCTTCAGTTCCGACTAAAAATCCAAACCTCATTATGAAAATGTCAAAACTGGTAAAGACGGTCAATTCATAAGCTTGAATATTAAATATATTTGTTCTTTAATCTCTCCTCTGAAGGTCCGGTAATCGCTCTGGAGCTGAACGGAGACGGAGTGGTGGAGGCCTGCAAGAGCATCGCCAGCGACGTGTTCAGCGGCACCAAGGTGATCCAGACTGACCCGGAGTCTCTTCTTCTGGTGTTACACGTCACAAACAAAATGCATCTAATCGACAATGTCTGATGTTTCATTTCTTCTGCAGGTATTCGTCTCTGATAACAAAAACTCGTCCTCTCGAGATGTCGACAGCTTCTTCAACTTCGCTGACATGCAGATGGGCTTGTGAGCGAAACCGAGCATCCAAACAAACTGATTCCCCTGAACGCCTCGCCGTCCAGCGCTGGTTTAAGTACGAGCAGCCTGATTTTAATCCTCAAAGAATCATGATACGCAATGACAAATATTAAAGTCTGGTTTTCATAAGAAACTCAGCTGATCAGCTGTGAGTCTAAAAACATCCAGCCGTCGCTGAGAGTGCTGTGAATATTTATATTTCTATGAATGTATTCGGTTGCTTGTATCGATTTGTGAATGTAGCTCTTTGCTGTAAATGTAATTCATTTTAATTTAAAGCTTTGTTTTTCTGATATGAAACCGTCGATGCAGCAGAAAGAACACGAGCACACGAATGGGAAAATATTTTATATATATTTATATAAATGTAGATATATATATTTATATAAATATAACTAAATACATATATATTTATTTATAAATATATATATTTATAAATATATATATTTATAAATAACCGCGCGTACGGTTACTCTTCTCTTTGAGGCCGAAGCTGAACTGTGACCGTTAGTTTCTCTTCTAGATGAACTCGTGTGTTTACGTTCATCAGTGTGAACTCTTTGTATTATAGTTCTGTGACGTAGCCAACTCTAGTGATCATTATTATTTTGTAAAATGTGTTTTATACTCTGCTGAATGTTCTTGTTTTTTTGTATATGGACACAAAAATGTATGTTCTTTATCATTTTTTTAGTAAAAGTTTCATAAAGTCTGACTTCACACCTGTGCTGTTATTCTGTGTTAAAGAGTGAACCAACGTAAAGTAACGACGGACTACAACCACCGTGTTTAATAATCCGTCCTCTCGTCTGTCAGCAGCACAAACGCTGATCTTAAAGAGACAGTACTGGTGTTCTGTAGTGTGTGTGTGAGGTTCTCCTCCACAGTCAGGGTTCTACTGCAGTAGATGAGTTGATAGAAACGGACAGGAGAACCAGCACGGGAGCAAAGTGATGTTCTGCTGTGGACGTATGTTAGACTCCTAACAGAATGTCTCTCTCAACAACACAACCTCAGCAACAGATGGAGGCAGCAGGAGAGCAGCAGCTGCTGTGTCCTGAGAGGTAGAGTCAGTGTTTGAGTGAATGGAGTCTGGTGTCGGCTTCAGTTCCTTTGTCATAAAGATCTGTCTAAAAGCCTGAACTCTCCCTCCAACAGAAACATTGTTTCCTCTTTGTAAGCTGATCAGCTCGTCCTCTTTTGTGAAGAACTCCCAAAGTTGATCTTGAGCTCTTTGACGTCAGTGAACGAGCTGTAAACAGAGTCCGTGTGACTGCATGTCGGCAGGATTTTCCTCTTGGTTTTCTAGTGGTCGTTGCAGCTCGACCTCATCAGTTATTCATTCATCAGGATTAGCTGAAGTTAAATGAAAACATGGAACGTTTTCTGTTCAGAGGGACGTCTCTCTGTATCTGTCAACCTTTTTGTACTCGAGCAGTTCTTGTCGAGCGGTTTGTCTTCATGAACGCACATCTGTCTGTGATTTGTTGTTCGGACATTCAGAATGACACCCTGTCTTTATGAAACACATTAAAAGCTGTAGAACACCTGACTGGTTATTTATTATCAGAGTTACTTTATTATATTTACTGTGATCAGTGTCAGCTGTCACAAACGGTGCTGGTTAGTTTCAGGAAATAAGAATCGGAGAGAAATGAAAAGATTGGATGTTTGGTCGGCTTACTTCATGAGAACTGAACTGTAAATGATATATTTCATAATTTAAACTCACTGTTCTCTAACATGTTAATATCATTATCAATATGAACAGAAGCAGCGCTGTAGTTATTTATATTTCACCATTCCACGTTTATTTCAGCACTATTGTCTTACTGTTTACAAAGAGTTGTTTTATTAATATATAAATATGTATATTTATACATATATATTTATTCATAAAGATATATGTATAAATACATATCTTTCTGTATAAGACCATCAATAACTGCAGAAGGTGGCAGCAGTGCAGCATGTAAACGACCGTTAAAACCCAAAGAAGAAGACTTTTAACGACTGTATTTTTATTTTAATGGTTTAATTCAATGAAGTTTAATTTATAGCTTCGATAAATATATCAAAAATGTGCCTCAGAGGGTTTTACACTTTGCTCAACAACCTTCAGGGACACTAAATAAGTAAAATAACAGTTTTTTAAAATGTATATATGAATAAAAAATGTTGCCAATATCATTATCACATTTATTATAAAATATATTTCTCCTCTTTTCTTGGGTTTTTGAAGAAGGTATGCACCACATCTTCCCCTAATAATGCAAAAGTATTTAAAGTTTATAAATCTGTAAAAGTTTGTGTTTATGTTGCATTATTATTATTATTTCTGCATTGGCTTTATTGTTTGTTGTGGTCTATGGATCGAGGTTAACAGCAGTATAACTATATTTACTCAAGTACTCTACTTAAGTACAATTTACATATATACATATATATATACATATATATA